ATTTAATATTTATAATAAAAAAATATATGGTTTTATTCATTTTATCCTTTCGATATTTTTTCTTATTCTATAATATATAAACAAAGGAAAAAATTACATTAATTTAAAGTTATAAGACTCAGCCGTTAAAAAAAAATACATTTCCAAATTTACGCAATTTTTTTCAAATTTTAAATGCTGAGAGGTTTCGTCTCATTTACAAAAGTTAGAAAAAAAATGAAATACAAAAAAATAGAAAGAATTTGATTTCACGTTAAGTTTAAATCGAGATAGTTGACAGTTATTACGACAAAACCTCTTAGCATACAATGGATTCACAATGCGGGTGCCGGGTTCATAAAGTTACAGGGAGAGGAGCTTCAACAGTGCCTGGGACTTGCGGCCCAGGTATAGGTTTCAAGGCCTCCTATCTGCAGAGCGTTAAACGCTCACCTTCACCGTCCAAGCCCCTCTTCTTATCTAACCAAATTTGGAAAGAACTTACTAGGGCTGCCTACGAAGTACGTTCCAGGAATGAATTGATATTAGTTCTGGACGTAGTCCTTTATTAGGTTGTAGAGAGATTTAGCTCTTATACCTCTCAATTCAGTCTGAGTTCCTTTAACAACAAGTTACGTAATTAATTCAAATATTATGGAGGAATTTCAACAAATCATTCATGAATATTAAATCAAACACTACTAGTATTTACGACACTATATTTTATATAAGAACGGAGACACATTTTAAATAAAATAATAGTAAAAAACTTGGCTCTATTAATTAAATGTTAAAAAGAAATCATTGTTAATCTTATTTTCAATAATGGCGAAATTTAATAAACTAAAATGGACTAAAATTGAAGAATAATATTGGTTATATGATTTCAATCGAAAAAGTCATGAAAAAAAATGACATATCATTGTAGTTAACCTATAATCTAATCTATATCTATAAAATATATTTTGTAATGTTTTTCTTGACCTGATACTGCGGATCACACAGAGTCTGCAGACTTCGTATTCCCATCTACATTCAATTGACAATGAGATCATTACAATTACTTTATTGATACAAAGGAATTAATTATTATCATTATACACTTTGCTCCTGGTGGTTAAATAGAACAAATTTATACAAGATATCTACCTATTTTATCTTATTTAAATTGAAATAAATTGGGACGTATTAGTTTTAACAATAGTATCAATAACGTACATTCCATTTGGTAAGTAAATTCCGTTGAATGAAGACTTGTTAACTGCTTATACCTAGGAAAGCAAGTATAGGATTCAGATTAAATATGGATAAAAGGTTAAAAAAAAAATATTCCAATATTTCCAAAAAAGAAAAGTATAAATAATATCTAAGCATAAGTAAGCTCATCCCTAAGAAAATACAGTAATCTGTTTACAACAAAGACTAACAATAAATAAAGTTACTCTAAATTATAATAACAATAAAAAAATTACAGATGCCAATGATTCAAGTCTTAATCGGAAATTATTATGACAGAAGTCTGTTTGGACTTAGACTAAATGAGAGTTCCTTTGTCTTTTTATGCATAATATTCCTTCATGTGTTTTGCTAAATCCTAATTTAGATAAAATTTCATATTAAAATTAATAAACAGTATATAATCTATCTATAATTTCCTTTGTTTTTGATTAAGATGAACCTTAAGCAAGATTGTTTACAAAAGCATTAATACTTGCTTATCTTGTACTGATATCTGATAATAGTTGAAGATAATTATGATTAAAATATACTATGTTTTTCAATGTTAGAACTACATACTACATATAAATATAATTGCAATGGAAAATAATTTTTCTAAAAGGCTCATGTGAGTATTTTTTGTTTAGGTATAATATAAAACATTAAGAATAATGGTTTAACTCAAAACAAAACGAAAATTAAGTTAAGAATGTTATGTTCTAAATGCTATGTTCTAAATTCACATTCATTATACCTGTTGTTATGTGCTTCGAATGTAAATTACCACAACGACAAAAGTGTTATTGTTCTTAAAAGTAGTAAAAAGCATCATAATTCATGCTTAATATTTTATTACTCGTTGTGGTTATCATTCCTTCAGTTCTGTTTGTATATATGTATATATATTAATATATAAATAGTCATCCAGTAAACAAAGTCGGGCAACCCGATTTCATTAATGAATGAAATAATTTTAATATGTAACATACAATATGTGCTTTCTCTGGTTATATCCATTATTCTGAAATTTTAAAGTACACTCATTGACTAATAGTTATCATCATCATCATCATCATCAGCCTATCAGACGCCCACTGCTGAGCAAAGGCCTCTTTCTCACATGGAGAAGGTTTGAGCATTAATCACCACGCTTGCTCAAGACGGTTTGATGATTTCAAACTTATAATTGTGAAACTATAAGTCCAGGTTTCCTCAAGATGTTTTCCTTCACCGTATGTCAGTGATGTCTAAATACTCTCAGAAAGTGCATATGACTCCGAAAAATCACATTGGTACCTGCCAGGTTTGAACCCGCGCCCTCGGCAACTAGAGGCGGGCCCCTTAACCACTAGGCCACCACAGACTGACAGTTAATTATATATTTATTAATAGTTATGTATCGGTTGTGTACAGTCTTTGTCGTTATGTAAGTACACGAGGCTCATATTCAGTCTTCTTTTAATAAAATTAAATAATAAACATAAAACAATTTTGAACACAGCATGTCACAGAATCACTACTAGGTGTATTACTTTCGTCAACAAATTTATGTAGTAAAATACATTGAATATTTCATTAAAATCATTAATAATATTTATTCAGTGATCTCTTTAATCTGTATATCTTTATTGCGAAGACTTATATAAGTGAGTACCGACTCATGTTATTATCTTCAATTGTTGATTTCTTCCTCGTATTTTTCAACGCCTCTAAGCACCCGATATAATGTTTTAACCAAATTAAAAGTGGTATTTGTGAGGCAAATTTACTCGTTGACTATATATAATAAAACTTCTAGTTATAGGTATCAGGCTAGTAACAAGAGCAATCATGAATATGTGCATATTGAATATCTTAGAAACTACGAGTTCAGTATAACTTAGTGTTTATATTATACGAATGATTTACTCATACACTATTTTTAAACATAACATATAAAAAATAACAAACGTTATGTTAAAAGGACATTTACCATTCCTTTAATGATGTCGTCAATATTATAACAACAAAAAAAATGGTAGCATTGAACCTTTTTTTTTTAACAAAGAAACAGTATTTTTATACAAAATAATCTTGAACTATTAATCAACGATATCCAAACGAGAGAGAATGGATATTCAGTCTATGGTAATTGTGACGCCCAAAATTGAGGCACTGGGGTATGCTAAATAACAGAGGAAGAAGGTTCAACAAAGATAATAGATTAATTGCCCTTTCTCTCCACTACTGTGTCGGACATATAACTCTCTTAATAAATAAGGACTATTTCCACTCAAGGGAAGCCATTAAAGAAACCTTTATTGACATCTTTGCAAATATATCAATAAAGAAACTCACCAAGCTACCCTTCTTGTTCTCTTATATTATGTAAGTCTCGTTCGCAAAGAGTTTTTAAAAAAGGTTATCCTTCAAATGGTGATTAAATTCTTAAAAAATATTGTCTATCTATTGTTTATTAATAAAGGACGCTAAGTGTGTTATGGATGTGTTATGGTCATTTATTGCTTTCATATTTTAGTATTATAAGCATAATTATCAATTTCATTTAATTAGTTTCAGTAAAATAGTTTCAGTAAAATAGTAGATTATTTATGCCTTTGTCATACTTACTTTGTTTCATACGTCATATTTGTAAATATGATAAAGCAGACTAATAGGAATACAAAAACTAGATTTATCTATAATAATATTTTATTTTCTACAGTGATAATTAAAATGAAATCTTTCAGTCGATTTCCACAATATTACCGAAATTATGTCTTAAGTAAATGTTAAAATTTTAGAAAATTATTTCGTTGTAGTCCTCATATACAAGTAGAAATAAGGAAATAACGTGACGTGATTTTAAAGAGTTTATGTATATAGAAGATGGAAAATACCATCTATATTTTTTCACTTCAACTCTCTTTTTATTTCTACTAAAATCTATTTAAATATTCTCAGTATTACCATGTAAGGTTTTGTCACATAATTGTGTTAGCTTTCATAAGGTTTTAAGAAGTTATAGTTATGGATATTGAAATAGTAAAAACGAAAATGAAATTTTGTTTATTTTTAACGTATTTACTTCAACGTTATGATCTATATAAGTGCAATAGAAGGACTTAATACAATCTGTTATGTCAAAGTAATACTACAGTTAATAGCATTATCAGTAATTATTATCTTATTAATTATTATCAGTAGGAAATCCTTAGTGACACGGAAATGAATAAATATTATGAGATCTAAGAGTGAAAATTTTCATCGTGTTACTTTGCAGCAACCGTGATCATGGTTTCTGTAAAGTAACCGAAATGTCGGGATTACGTAGTTCAAATATTAGTTTTATTTCAATTGTACAAATATGTATTTTAAAATAAGCTCGGTTTTGCGAACATTGATGTAAGCAGGTTAAACAAAAGTGTGCAAAAATTAAATAATTTGTCATATCTATATCTTGGGGTATTATGAAAACAGTTAATTTACATAAAAAAAATGCCAATAACAAAAAAACTTATTGATTGGTTTTCTAAGTTTATAGTTCCAAACACATTAAATTCGCTAATTAATATTACTATTGACCTTGAATATTATAAACATACACTATTGTTGTTGATTAAAACATACACTATTTACACTAGTGTATTATAATCTAGAAAAAACAAATACCAAAAAAAATACTTTTATTTATACCTGATTTGCTTAAGAGTCAATACTACGTTTTCTTTTATGAAGAAATTAATAGAAAAAAGTTATCAATCTAATTATTCATTTCAACGTTTATTTCAGTAAATTTCGTTTCACTGACAGCTGGTGTCAGTATGTTGTGGTCTTCACCGATGGTCGTTAAACTCCGTAATGGTACAGATTCTCCATTATCAAGACCCATCACAGAAGAAGAAGGGTCATGGATAGTCTCCGGAGGGTATTTGGTGTCTTGTATAAGTAAGATAATTTTTTTTTAAATGATTTTAATATTTTCGGATTAATACGCCCATTTTATTATTTTTAAAAAACTCCATACTCACGACGTTTCAGTTCCTTTACAGCAACTGTGCTCACGGGCAGACAAGATGTGATCACTTGTAGTTTCTATGAATAATAAAATACGCGTAGTTATCCGAAAATATTAGTTTCATTTAAATGAATACTTGCGAATGTCTTAGACTTCATTAAACTATATTTTAATTTCAGCAAATTTACTCGCTGGGACTCTGTTAGATAAAATCGGGAGGAAGTACGCCATAATTTTAATTACAATACCTAGGATATGTGCATCAATTTGGACGATATTTGTTACCGAAGTGTGGATGTTGATATTTTGTCGGATGATCATGGTGTCGACTGATAATTATATTTATGCAGTAATCCCAGTGTACGTATCAGAAATAGCTAATGTGAGTATAGCTTTTTTAGTATACTTTTTCAAAAACTACTTTTTATTTAATGTATATATTCAAAACTAAGTTTACATGCCACTTCAACCTTAGTTATTTTAAAATAATATAATGATATTTCACCCTTAGAATTTGTCACGGAGCAATTTTACTTTTTTCGTTAAAATAAAATTGGGAGTATTGGAGAACAAAATATTAAAACATTAAAATTTTAAACATTAATTTATGGTACACTTTGTATTTCAGTAAGTTTAACATCATAAACATTATCAATTATTTAATATTTTCAATGAATTTTTATGGAATATCAAGAAGCCCAAATATTTTATATTTAGTGTTTTTTGATTTCCTACATTACTCTTTAAGCTGAATAATTTTTTTTAGAAAGAATTTCGGGCATCTCTCGGTGTGTTCCTGCACATACTTGCCTGCATAGGAATTGTTGCCACTCTCTCTATTGGTCCATTTGTATCCTATACAATGTTTAACTCCTTAGTTGCTGGTGTTATAATATTGACGACCATACCGCTACCATTTCTACCAGAATCCCCAGTCCATTTATACACTAAAGGTAAGTTACAGTTATACTAGCATAAAAGTTTTAATTCCTACAACTTTTACTTACTTTTCTTACGTATATTTATCAAAAAGATTCAAAGCAAATTAATGACACAACAAACATATCTCAGGTCGTATAGATGATGCCATAAATGTCCTATCTAAAGTCCGTGAAACTGATGAACTGGTCAAACAAGAGATAGAAGACTATAAAACTAGCAAGAAAGAAAAAGTAGACAAGTTGGCCTTAATGACAGATAAATCATTTTTGAAGTCGCTTGCATTGGGCATTCTGGTCTGTGGTGGCTGCAATGCAGTAGGATACAATGCGGTGGAATTTTATTTGCAAACTATTTTGGAAACCACACGCTCCAGTTTGATGCCAGAGGTCACATCAGTAATAGTTGGATGCATCCAACTAAGTGCTGCTGTTTCCACATCCTTTTATACAAAAATGTTTGGAAGACGACCTATTTTAATTTATTCCCTCATGGGCATGTTGTGTGGTATGGTAAGTGAAAACATTTTGTTTATTCATGTCATCAACCTATTAACGCCCACTGCTGAGCATAGCCTCTTCTCACATGGAGAAGGTTTTGAGCATTATTTGTTTATTCATATAAAATAAATATTATTTTTTAATGATATACGATAACTTTCAACTTTCAAAGAAACATACTGTCACAGAATAGTCGTAAGTTATTTATTACGAATATAAATTTGAATTATGTATTTTGTTTGTATCTGCAGCTCGGATTGGGAGTTTTCTTCACATATAGTACCAGGGAAGGTTATGTTATCTCTGGCTTCCTCAATTACCTTCCTATCATATCTTTAATACTTGCTACATACTGTTTCAATATTGGTGAGTAAGTTATAAACACACATTTTTTTTCTAATATTATAATAAATATAAAGCTTGCTTACACCTACTCAATATTTAAGTTCCAAGTCTTATCAAATTTTTTTATATTTCAGTTACTAAAATGCCAAAACGCTTTAAATTTTTAATCTTAAAAACCCAAAACGAAAAAAAAAACATATATATATATATACCTACTTATTTTCCATACTTTGGATACTTCTAATAAAATGTATTTATATTATTTCCAGGAATCGGATGTCTTCTTTTCATAGTTACTGTTGAATTATTTGAAGGAAGGACGCGAGCATTTGGATATACAATATGTTTTACATTCTTTTTACTAAGTGCTTTCATAACAACTAAATATCTAGAGGCAATGTTCGACACTTTCGGTTATTCTGGGACATACTGGTTCTTCAGTGCCATGTGTATAATTATTTGTACTTTAATTGTTTTGTTCCTGCCCGAAACTAAAGGGAAGACAATTACTGAGATTCAAATTGTATTAGGCAACAAGAAAGTTGAGGCTCAAGTTGGAAATAAGCAAATTGATTCTTCACCTTTGTAGATAAAATTATAGTTATTAGATGTCAGAAGAGAAAACTTTATGGTGATACTTTGTTTAAGTATTGTAGATGCAATTTTTTATGAATACTTTATAACCTATTTGTATTATTTACACAGTTGTTATGTTTGAAAATTGTTTTCTATCAACGATAAAAGGATAAGTAACTATTTACATTATATAGCAAACTAAAAACCTCACTTTGTTTTAATTGAAAAAAGTGTTTACGAATTTTATATATAGACATGTAAATAAATATATCTTCTATATATATAAAAATGGATTGCTGTTCCTTAGTCTCGCTAAAACTCGAGAACAACTGTACGGATTTATCTTATCTTAGTCTTGAAATGTTCGTGGAGGTTCAGGGAAGGTATAAAAGGTGAGAAAAATATGAATAATTGCCGGGCAAACCCTAAAAACAGCCCTTTTCTATTTCCCATACAAACGTTTTTTTTGACATTAGATTTGACAACTAACTAATATGTCAATCATACTGTTTGATTGAAACAGGAAAAACCTGATTATTTATGGCCTCTAAGACGGAATAGAGTTCGCCTGGTCAGCTACTCCTACATATATTACTCTTGACCAAACTAACGCGGACGAAGTCGCGGGCAAAAACTAGTTTGTAATAAATGTTAGTAAAATGAAGTGCTTTTAAAAAATTGAAATGAAAGTGACTTTACTTATTTAATAATTTTTTTCTTCGTCAAAAGTTGTGTTTTGAAATAGTTTCCTACTTTTTACTTTTCGAAAATAGAGTTAACCATCTTTTTCCTACTATGCCAGATTCAGCAAAAAGGTTCCTAAAATGTTTTTTAATTGTATCTCTAACTTTGTTTTTCTAACTAATGCCCTGGCAACGTGTTTTTCAGGACTAAGTCCCGTTTTAAAAATTGCGATTTCGTTCTTGAGACTTAAAAATGTTGCTTCCCTTATAGTGCAAATTTTTTTCTTGTGAATAATCTGTATGACTATAATTTGATTTTCATCCCAAGTTTTCATTGATTTGTTTGATTATGGTTGCGCCATTCTGAAAAAAAATATTTTAGGTACCTTTCGAACTATAGAAACGAACATCTAAAAGACTAATTTCTAAATATGAGCTATACCATGTTCAAAATCACAAAAATCTACTTTTACTTTACAAATCATATATAGTAAGCAATAAATCGAAAACAACGTCATACAAATGAACTTAAACTCTACGATAAAATACATATCTAGCTTGGTTCGTAGCAATACTTCCAGCTTTATACAGCTGCGACGATGTCAAATGCAGCATCTGAGTCACCGCCGTTGAATTTATCTAATATTTGGCGTCAAGCCATGTTAAGCTGTTTCTGGACGTCAGTTAAAATATGGGGGGTAGCATAAAAATCCATGTAGTACAAAACTTCCTGATGCCTAAAAGTTCGTATAATATTTTTTTACTTTGATCATACCAATGCCTTGGTTCATTTTCACGTGTAACAAGATTTTTCATAAAAAGTCACTCAGGTAAGTTTAAGTCAGTTTAATATGGTTTTGCTTTCATTAAAGTCGAAATTAATTATTATTCATAATAAGAGACAGAATCTATAAACGTACGTTAGTATGTACGTGTATAATAAAAATTATTATAAATCAATTCACCTTCGGTTAGTAGGAAACGTCAATTCGATTAGTTTTAAATCACTCATATAGTCCAGTAGGAAACAACAGACATTTGTTCTTCAGTTTTGTTGAAAATTTAAAGGTTTTAGAGTTACTATTCCCTTATACGATAATATTATATGGAACGTGAACATTTAATTATTTTAATTTAATTATTTATTGTTATAAAAAAGGCCTTTCTTGTGAAGATTTGCTCAATTTTAAATAAATACGAAGAACGCTCATGTTGGTTGCTAGGATTCATTTTTGTCTCATACTCTTTATATAAAATTGAAATAGAAGTCTAACCATTATTTATAGCAATCACGCACAAAGATGTATTTTGTATTTGCTAATTACTTCGTATTTACAAGTATGTTGGTACACCATTTAAATTCATTTTAATAAAAGAAGACGTATGTATACTGAATATGATGTGAAACTAAGGAAATTCTTTTACCTTATCAAAACTCTGAATTTAAATAAATACATACATGTAACTTTTTATGTTACACAAAGTTATCAATAATAAAAAAGAACGAAATCCAAGAAGTTTGTAAAGTCATTTGTTTATTTGTATATTTTCAAACAAATATTTTTTTCAAGATATTATAGTAAGTTATATTATAAGGATAACATATTTTCTTAGCGTAATGGCATTTGGTTTAAGCGTTTGGATAATATCATAAAATCAACTGTAAATTCATTGTAATCGTTTTAATTCCATACATGTATAGCAACATTTCTTTTTTTTATAAATTTTATAATTATTTGTAATATTAAGAGTACTTGGAAATATATAGAAACTTGGTATTTTTAGTTCTTATTATGATGCATAAAAATTCTTTAAAGTTAATTTTTGTTGACTAATTTATTGATAATAATACTATCAGATGACACAAAAGTCTGTTTTGAAACTGTAATTTAGAAAATTAAGTATATTCTGCCCTTCAATGCAAAGAGAAGATATTTAAGAAATGCCATTACTAGACTGCGGATTATTTATTGAAAGTTGAAACCCAATAACCCAATAGTTTCCATTACCTAACATAAGTGGTAACTCAGCAATGATCTGGTGTATAATTTGCTTCATCAGGCCGTTTTTAATGGTAAAAATGCCTTTGTTCCACATAAACTCCCATAAAGTAAGAATCTGAAAACCCCCTACGAGATTCTATTGGGGGTAAGAATAGCAAAAGACGCACAAAAATTAAAAAGATTAGTTACCTTTAAACTAAAACTCATTACCAACCCTAACAAAACTAAAGTAAAACAACATATAATTTTATTAATACTTTTTTTATCTTTCGACTCATTATTTTGATTACCTAAAGCTATTTGAATTTCACTGATGGTTTTTCCTTTAGTTTCAGGTATAAAAAATATTATTAACACACAAAGAATTAAACATATTGCACTGAAAAACCAATAAGTAGTTGAAGGGCCAAAGGCTAAAGTCATTGCACCTTAATATTTGATTGCTAAAAGTAAAAAAAAAAAACAAAAGAAATTGAATATCCGAGCTCCCTAGCTGGTCCATCGAATAATTCCGGCATAACTATTAAAACCAGGCAGCCTATTTCTGAAATAGATGAAAACAAAGATGTTATGGGTAAAATTAAATTAAACTTTTCAAATTAAGGTATACCAGCCTTAATAAAAGATATTGAGTAAATAGTTAGTAAGAAATACTAACCTTAATTATGGCAATATGTACTAAGCACGAGTTATAGGAGAGGTATATAATTCAACATTCCTTAATTTCATAATCCGCTTTAGAAGTAATCATGAAATAAGTTTCTAAGCCCATATGAAAAAAGAAAACAATGAAACATTACGTAACTTACTTAAAACTGAATTATTTCACCATTAAAAATGATTTCTTTATAACATACCATTAGAATAAAACCATGAGTCCAACCAATGAGAGGCTAAATAAACATAGGTCTCCTTCCGAAGAATTTAGCAAAAAAGGAAGAACATACGGCGGAAAATAATTGTATACAACCAATAATGATTGATCCATAATCAGCCTTCAAGCTAGAGCGAGTTGATTCTAATAGAGTTTGCAAATACAACAATACAGCACAATAACCAGTGGCGTTGGAATCGGAACAAATAACAACGGCTAGAGAGAGTAACTTCAGAAATGATTAGTTTTTAAATAAAGCAATTTTATCATATTGATGAGTTTACTAGATTTATAATCTTCCAATTTTTATTCGATAATTTCAAAAGAATGTCTGATTTTGGATAAAACTTTCACAGATGCATCAATTTTACCTGAGGAATTCATTAAATGATTAATTATTAATTATTAATGATAATAAACATATGAACTCGTAAAAAATGTTGTTCATCTCAAGTTGAATATAAATAGATTGGGCTCTCTGGTATAAACGGCAATGGTAGTGCATTCACAAAAATTACTATGGCCGGAACAGCATTGAGCTCTGTATAGGACAAAAAGGGACCAATGGCATACGTTATCACTATAGCTGTACACGATAAAACATAAAGGAAAGTGCCAAACATTCTTTCTAAAATAGACATTTATTTTGAAATATCTATTGATTTTCATAATTGTTTTAAACAAAGAATATTAAATACTCATAATGAGATCTAAGACTTTTGCTAGTATTCATTTAAATGAAACCAATATTATTCGGATTACTAAGCGTGTTTATTTTATTTTTAAAAACTATATACTCCCGTAGACACATACATCACGGGAAGACGAGATTATACATCTATCTACCATCTAGTTTCATTTAAATATGTAATTAATTTATATAAACTATTTCCACTTACAAAAACGATTTCCGAAACGTTAACTGAAATTATTATAAAAATGTAGCAGTCAGGAAATGTCATAACAGTACGTCATAATATAAACATCCACACCTCGTTGGTAATTATAGTCCAAATTAATACACATATTCTTGGTAGAGTTACTAAAATTAAACAGAATTAACGACCGATTTTGTCTGACAATATTCCACCGAATAAACTTACTGCAAAGAAAAATATAAGTGTTACTTTTGATTACATTGAGGAACACTATTACTCACTTATAAATGCGATTACTTCCAATTGCGGCCAAGTATCCTCCGGAGACAAGCCATAATTCTTCCTCTTGCGTAATATATCTTGACAACGGTGTATCAGTTTCGTTACGGAGTTTAATAAGCATCGGTGATGACCAGACCAAGCCTATGCCAGTTGTAAGGGACCCCAAGTTGACTAAAATAAATATATTTTAATGACTAAACAGGTATTACATTTTGGAAAGTAAAAAATAAGTTAACTGTTACTGGAACTGAGTATAAAATAAAGTTAAAATATATAAGCTTGAAAATAGAAAA